GTATCTCGAGCTTCTCCATGTCAGAATGAAAACGGCAGTCGGAGGCCATCATGTAACGTGAATAAACAAGGTCTGTTTCGAAGACCGACTGTTTCTTCTGCTATGCTTTAACCGTTGTCCCATGGCAAACGTGGTAAATAGTTCTAAGTTGAATGAGGATCATAAACCGGAGAGTTTTGCTGTTACAAACAGTTCAGCGGTATTGTTCATTGTATTGTAACCCGCTGCTGATCAGTTGCCCTGAATGCTGTCTGCGAAAACTGACAAGCAGGGGTACTACTTGGTAAAGTCGAGCGGTTTCTGAAGACCAGCGGTCAGAAAGGGGTTGTCTGAAGGACCGAATAATCACTGATTGATATGTTCTAACAAGTTATTTAAAAGGTTTGTTGGAGTGCATTCTTTTATGAAAACCGTCAACGTTGCGTTGTGGTATGAACCGTTCAAACTTCGAGAAATCCTTCTCATTGCAATAGTGGCATGACTTGTAAAGCAGTACTGGTAGCGCATGTTTTAAGATTCAGTCTTCGGTCAGGTCAGACGTGGTTAGTCTGGACAGCTCAGGAATCATCAACGGTCGAGTAAAGTGAGACGCCTTTCCCTGCCGCTGCACTGTCTACGGTGAAGAAAATAGTTCTGGTATAAGTGAGTACTCGTCGAAGATTCTGACGGTAAGGACAGTTTGCACGTGGTTGCGCCATTCTGTCATTTGTGACGAGTTTCCAGCCGTAGTTCCGCTGCGTGCAACGCATAACGCTTTTATAAATGGTTTGCTTTGAGGTTACCCTCGTAAACAGTTAACTACAAGAACATCGTCACAGGAAGTCACGGATTTAAGCTTCTTACTTGCAGATATTTAGCTACGCTATTTATTACTGATGAGCTGCTGTTTTAGAGATGGCCATTGATCTACTGAATCAGCGATCGCAATGGTTTTCGCTTAACAGCAACAATGTGTTCTTACGGCTGTTGTTGCAGGTATGATATATGGTTGTTGTAGTCTGTGCCAGCATACAATGACGTCACTTCTTTAGGAGCCGATTCAAATCGCGGTAAATGTTGTGGACGGTCGCAGGCACCTGGACTTCGAAATGAAAATCGCCTGTGAAAGCTTCATTTCTGAAATCAGCGCTGGTTTCGTTTCGGAATTAGAGTCAGTTCTGCAGGAGGTGACATTGTATTATTTATTTGAATGTTATAACGTTAGCCTGAGGTGGCCAGGTGCTTATCATATTATGGCAATAACCGTTCAGCTTCAGTTCGTGAT